CTTTCCCCTTTTAAGTGAGATTTTGATCTAGACAAGTCTAGACCAATATTTCATCACAGCTTGAAAGAGCATCGCAAAATTAGTAATATTCCGAAGTTTCGTTGCAAAATGTTGTAAAATGCGGATAATATAGCCTTGAGAAGTTTGCCATTTTTCAGTCATTTTGATTACAAATGGGAAATTGATAATCAGATGATCAAACTGATTATCAATTTCCCGTTTGTAATGCAAAATGACTCAGCTCAGTGAAAAACGGCAAATTTCGCAAGGCTATATTGGCCGCATTTTACAACATTTCGCAACGAAACTTCGGAATATTACTAATTTTGTTGATACTCTTTCAAGCTGTAATGAAATTTTTGTCCAGGCTAGTCTAGATCAAAATTTCACTTAAAAGGGGAAAGGTCTATTACGGCCGGGTCCTTGTGCCTTGTGGGATGGTCACAACTTCTAAAGAGCCTGCAGAGTTTACCCTGCAGGTTTAAAGAGCTCTAATTAATTAAAAGTCGTAAAATACAGTTAATTATTAAAATTTCTTATTGCACATTTTCTATGTTATTCTACCTTATGCATAATGACGTCACATGGCTTGATGCCCGCGAGGAATGCTGGTCTTAGCAGTCATCACCCGGGAAAATTAAACAATTCAAAATGGCTATTATCGAAATTTTCCCGGGCAATGACTACTAAGACCAGGGTTGGTAAGTTAGATGAAGAATTAGGCCAAATCGTCATTAGTGCCGTTTAGAAAACAGAGAAAACAAAAGGCCAAGACAAAGAAAACAAAGGCCTAGTGTGACGGTGTTTGGCCTAATTATTCAGCAAACCTACCAATCATAGATATAGGAGATCTAGATTACTAACGCATACCTAACGCAGGCGGGGCCTACATGATAAATCCAAGATGGCGGTACAACAGGGCAAAAAGACTATAAATTGTATTACGAAAATCAGGATATTTGCATTTTTTTCCGTCGCATTGTTTTGAAACTTATTCGGTCAAATTTTATGGTAAAGAGAAACTTACCGCGAAGATTTTGAGTATATATATGATTGAATTGGATGAAAAATCGCAAAATTATCCAGCGATAAAAGTTCGTGTGAACTGGTCAGTTGGAGCGTTTTATTGCCAGAAATACTGTGCTATGTTAACATCTAGCCTTGTGAATGGTGTTTTATACTTGCATCTCTCATCATCATCTGCTCTGTCCTCATAATTATGAAAAATGAACTGTTATGTACCCCCCCCCCCTTGCTTGTTAGAGAAGTAAACTGATGAGAGCACTGGATGAGGGTCTATCATCTATGGTCTGTTATAATTTGCTTTTTATGCAAATAGTGAGCAAAAATTCAAGCAAAACTGTACAAGTTACATATATAGTACTATATCAGTACTATACACGAACTTTTATCGCTGGATAATTTTGCGAGTTTTCATCCAATTCAATCATATATATGCTCAAAATCTTCGCGGTAAGTTTCTCTTTACCATAAAATTTGACCGAATAAGTTTCGAAACAATGCGACGGCAAAAAATGCAAAAATCCTGATTTTCGTAATAGAATCTATAGTCTTTTTGCCCTGTTGTACCGCCATCTTGATTTATCATGTAGGCCCCGCCTGCGTTAGGTATGCGTTAGCAATCTAGATCTCCTATATCTATGGTTGTAGGGTTAATAAGTGGATATTCTCTTCAAATTCCCATCCTAAAAGAAATTAAATGCTTTTCAGCTAATTTCTACAACTGCATGGAGCAAAAAATATTTGGACATGCACGTGGTGTCACATTAAAGACAGGTTATATTATTATTTATAGTACTTGTGGTTATATATGATGAGTATTGAGAATTGAGCTTCACATGAAAAGTGAATTGGTGTAAAATCCAACAATGGAAATCCATAGTCGTTCCGTGATGGCTGGCGTGCGCATGTCTGCTGCTTTCCTACATTCGTATGTTCCTGCAGTTCTTTCCAGATTTTTCAGTGTTTTTCGTCTCAACCTTCCAATCACTTTTCCTTAGATTAATCCCACAACAGCGGGAGATGACTTTCCCCATATATATACGGTAACAACAGGCATGGTTTATCGGTATTTGCTCCTGTAGTAGCGCTGATCGCTGTGGTAATGTAATGTAATTATAGTATTCGCTTCGATCTTATAGTCATAGTTCAAAAAGATAAATTTACGTCCGTCCCCGTCCGTATTTGTGAAATGAGCGTGCGTTCAGCCAATCACAGCATTGAAATCGTTGTGACGTAACCAGTAATGGAATGAGCGTGAGCGCGCCTAGGCGTGTGTAAAATTCTTGAATTTAAAATATCTATTTTTTTTACAAAAAGTGAACAAATAAATAAATCGTGTTTGTTTTCAGTGTACATCAGTATTTTTAAACATTTACTTAAATGTTTTTATTAGGGTTAAAATTAATCGCATATCTCTTTCAAAACTTTCAAGGAAATATGTTTTCTTTACTGATATCACTTAAATGTTATTATGATGGTTCAGTAATACGATATCTCTGGGTGTTTCTATTTTGTTTGTTAGCACATAATTTGCATATCACCGAATGTTTTTTTGGCAGAAACATCAATCTTCACAAGCATTAATCTTCTCTAAATTTAGATTCGCGATCGCTCTAAATATGACTATATGATTTTCATATCAAACAGTTAATTTGTGGACGATTTTTGATTCTCTGTTTTCAGATGGCATTAACAAGGCTATCACAACGCGCAAAATTTTATGAGAGTTTATTACGTTGTCCAAAGGTTAATGGATTCCTAAAAAGGCCAGAGCCCTCTCAACCGATCAGCCACCAGCCAACATATGCCGTGAGAGACAGGGCATTTTTTAAGAATTTGTAAGTGGGGGGGGGGGGCATCTACAAAAAGGACCATACTATACCGAATGTGGAGAAATGGTAGATGGTTTGTACGTTGGTAACAAAAAGTTTGGTGTGGTATCGCATTTAATAGTGGCCATTAGTGGGGGGGGGGGGGTCGGGGGGCATTTTTTTATCCCTACGACTGCAATTCCCTGCATTTT